GAGAAGCAGCTGAAGGAGGAAGAGAAGATCCTGGAGAGCGTGGCAGAGGGCCGAGGTGAGTGGGAGCTCTGTGTCTCAGATGTGTCCCCAGAGCTCCCAGGGCAGCAGGAGAGCTGCCCCCTGCCTTGGGAGTGCTCATACTCAGGGGTGGGGCTGGAGGTGACAGTGGGTGCCCTCAGCTGGCACTGCCTGGGTTAGCTGAGACATGGTTGTGACAGGGCTCTGGGCATGGCAGCGCTGGGTGTTCCTGTGCCAGAGGGGCTGTCTGTGCTGCTGCTCCTCCTCTTCTGTCTCCAGACATGATCTCCCAAGCTGTTTGCCCAGTGAGGCTGATGTGGATGAGGAGAGTTTGCTCTGACTGATGCTCTTTGTTCCTGCAGCTCTGATGTCGGTGAAGGAGATGGCCAAGGGCATCACCTATGATGACCCAATCAAAACCAGGTAAGTTCACAGCACAGCTCAGAAGTTGTCCTTCTGAAACCATCACTTCATGGTGGCTGAAAAGTACTGAAACCCACAGAGTCTTGCAGGAGCAGTGCAGCTCTGCCTCCTCTTGCCTGAGTGATTGGGTTTGTGTCAAATCTGTAAAATTAAATGCTGTTGAATTGCATTGGATGTTGTTTTGTATACAGTAAGGCTTGATAAAGGACATTTATGTTAAACTAGAAGTTCTGAGGGTTGGTCTTCAGGTCTGGGAGGTCACCAAGCCAGAGAAAGAGTCTGGAGGAGCTTTTGGAGGCAATGCTGCTCGAGGCAGCAGTGTCAAGGTCGTGATTGACCAAAGATTGGGCTCAGTGATCTCAGAGATCTTTTCCAACTTCAGTGATTCTGAGGCAGTGTCAGAGAGATGATTGAGGTGTGTCCAGATGTTTTTGGCATGTTCCATCCACCATCCACAGGCTGTTCTCAGCTGTTATTCATGGAACTGGCTCAGATCTGCTCCTACACTCAGTCCATGGAGCCCCTTGGGGCTGCCCCTTTTATCTGGGAGGATATTGGAGGCCAACAGGGAGTTCCCCTGACTCCTCCATGGGAGCTGCTGGTTCTGGAGCCCTGGCCTCACTGTGCACCTGTTTGTGTTGCTTCCACAGCTGGAGGGCCCCTCGCTACATCCTGGGCATGTCGGAGGCGCGGCACGAGCGCGTGCGCAAGAAGTACCACATCCTGGTGGAGGGGGAGGGCATCCCACCCCCCATCAAGAGCTTCAAGGAGATGAAGTTCCCAGCAGGTAGGCCAGGAGTGGAGCCTGGAAAGGGTCCCACCTTTTTCCTGGCTGCTGGCCTGAGGGGTGTTTGGCACTGGTGGAGGAGCTGCTGCTGGGACCTGAGTGGGAAAAGAGAGGAAATGGTTCAGGTCATGAACGTGCCAACCTTGTTCTCTGACAGCTATCCTGAGAGGCTTGAAGAAAAAAGGAATCCAGCAGCCAACACCCATACAGATCCAAGGCATCCCCACAATGTGAGTGCTCTGTCCCCATCCCAAAGTAGTGAGCAGTTGTTCCCACTCAGGGGTGACAGATGCACCCTGTCACCCTGCTCAGCCCTGGAGGTTTGAGCTGTTCCATGGTGTTCCTCCTCTCCATCAGCCCTGTTTCTCTGGCAGACTCTCAGGAAGGGACATGATTGGCATTGCATTCACTGGCTCTGGGAAGACCTTGGTGTTCACCCTCCCTGTGATCATGTTCTGCCTGGAGCAGGAGAAGAGGCTGCCGTTCTCTAAGCGAGAGGGACCCTACGGACTCATCATCTGTCCCTCGGTGAGTGCCAGGAGGAGGCTGGGATTGAGCTGCAGTGGCAGTTCTGAGTTCTGCCTGCACAGAGGTGTAGGAACGAGCTGGTTTTGTCTCTGCAGCGGGAGCTGGCCCGGCAGACCCACGGCATCCTGGAGTACTACTGCCGCCTGCTGCAGGAGGACGGGCTGCCCCCGCTGCGCTGCGCCCTCTGCATCGGGGGCATGTCTGTCAAGGAGCAGATGGAGACCATCAAACAGTAAGAGCTCCTGGGGGAGTCCATGGGGCTGGAGCTGCTCTGTTTTACTGGCAGGGAGTTAAGGAGTGGCATCCTGCCTTGAGGAGAACATTGGGGTGGAAGCTGTGTGCCAGGGAGGTGTCCTGCATGGGGCAGGAATGCCAAGGGCCTGATGCAGCCTCCTCTCACCCCACAGTGGGGTGCACATGATGGTGGCAACCCCCGGGCGCCTGATGGACCTGCTGCAGAAGAAGATGGTGAGCCTGGACATCTGCAGGTACCTGGCCCTGGATGAGGCTGACAGGATGATCGACATGGGCTTTGAGGGGGACATCCGCACCATCTTCTCCTACTTCAAGGTACTGAGCTGCCACAGTAGGAGCACCCTCAAGCTCAGTCCTGCATATGCCAGGTTGGGTGAGTGCTGAAGGCTTCCTCCCTGTGCAGGGCCAGCGGCAAACCCTCCTCTTCAGTGCCACAATGCCCAAGAAGATCCAGAACTTTGCCAAGAGTGCCCTGGTGAAGCCCATCACCATTAACGTTGGGCGAGCGGGTGCTGCCAGCCTGGATGTTGTGCAGGTGAGGTCTTTGGTGCTCCCTCATGCCTCTGTGGGAGGCCAGAAACATTCATGAGGGCACTTAATTCCTTCCTCTGCCAGGGAGCTGGGGTTCATGGCCCTCCTTCCCAGCTGAGGGATACCAAGCAGTGGCAGTTCCTCTGCTGCCTGACCCATGTCTCTGCTTGTTCCTAGGAGGTGGAGTATGTGAAAGAGGAGGCCAAGATGGTGTACCTGCTGGAGTGCCTGCAGAAGACCCCTCCACCTGTGAGTATGCTGGGGACAGTGTGCTCACCCTGGGGCATGGGGGAGTTGGGAGGAGGGACCCCTGTGCGGAGTGGACACGGGACTGAGCCATGCCGGGGATCAGCAGTGCTGTGTGCTCTGCTCAGCATGAAGGAATGGGCTTCCCCAGGGGTCTGTGCTGGTGCCAGCAGTGCCAGCCTGCAGAAAAGGCTCTGCTATGATGCCTGTGCTGCCCCAGGTGCTGATCTTCGCAGAGAAGAAGGCAGATGTCGATGCAATCCACGAGTACCTGCTGCTCAAGGGTGTGGAAGCTGTGGCCATCCATGGAGGGAAAGGTCAGTGAGGGTCCCAGAGAGGCCTGGGCTCCTGTGTGACCCCACTCCTGCCAGGAATGTGTGTGGCCATGGGAGGTGCCAGCCTGGAGCAGTTGTTGATGGTGTGAGGAAGGGCTGTGACAGTGTCAGGAGTGAGCTCCATGTTGTACACAGCAGGTCCCCATGGGATGTAGAGACCCCTCTGCGCCCTCATTGGCAAAAAGGCTGCCCGAGGAAGCAATGCTTCACTCTGAGGCCACAGTGTTTGCTGCAGAAGGTAGGGCTGGGAGCTCTGCCCTCACTGATCTGCTCTGCTGGGCCTTTGCAGATCAGGAAGAGCGGACAAAGGCCATTGAGGCCTTCCGGGATGGGAAGAAGGATGTCCTGGTTGCCACCGACGTCGCTTCCAAGGGCCTGGACTTCCCAGCCATCCAGCACGTCATCAACTACGACATGCCAGAGGAGATTGAGAACTATGGTGGGCACTGGGCCTCGTGGGAGGGGTCTGGAGGCCAGCAAGGCTCTGTGCCTGTCCCTGCAGTGTCCTGGGGCAGGGATGGGCTGTCACACTGTGCTCACCCGGGCCTGATCCTGTCCCTGTCTCCACAGTTCACCGCATCGGGCGGACGGGCCGTTCAGGCAACACTGGCATTGCCACCACCTTCATCAACAAAGCCTGTGGTGAGGAACAGCACGGGGCTGGGGGCTGGGGGCAGCTGGGCAGTGCCAAGGGGGTGTCCTGAGCAAGCAGGATGGCTTTGCCTGACCTATGTCTCTGCCCGCAGATGAGTCAGTGCTGATGGACCTGAAGGCTCTGCTCCTGGAGGCAAAGCAGAAGGTGCCACCTGTGCTCCAGGTGCTGCACTGTGGGGATGAGACCATGCTGGACATCAATGGTGAGAGACCCCAGGCTCACACAGGGACCCCCGTGGGGCTGCTGCAGAACCTGGGCTCCAGATGGGACCCTCTAGCTCCCAGTGCCACAACACTGGGGAGACACTGGTGTAACTCCTTTGCTCTGGGGTGGGAGCTGCTGTTCTGGCAGGTCACTGTCCTGGCCCTGACCCCATGTCTCCCGTTGCAGGTGAGCGGGGCTGTGCCTTCTGTGGTGGCCTGGGCCATCGCATCACCGACTGCCCCAAGCTGGAGGCCATGCAGACCAAGCAAGTCAGCAACATCGGCCGCAAGGACTACCTGGCCCACAGCTCTATGGACTTCTAGCCTGGAGGGTGTGCTGCTCCTGGGTGGGCCTGGGCTTCCTGTCAGCCCAGGGGCCTGTCTTGCACTGCTTTGTGTGGGCCCTTTTCCAGAATTTTGGTCACTGGGACTGTTGCCAGCTCAGCCTGACGAAGCTCCTGTCCCGGAAAGAAATGTATGGAGCTGTGCTGCAACAGCCCATTACATCAGGGTGTGTTGGGCAAGCAGGTAGCAGTGCCTCAGGGCAAGAGAAAGCCCCAGGTGGGGCAACTGCTCTGCTGCCTCTGCCAGCCCTGTGCAGTGGTGGGGTCAGGGTCTTGTGCTGCTCCTCACAAATCCCCCCATTTTCTCTGAGCCCATCTCCCTCACCTGGATTTGTGCATTCTCTGGTGGCTGTTCTGTCTCCCCAGCCGTGCTGGGAGGATGCAGGCAGGGTGAGGTGGAGCGTGCCATGCTCATGTCAGGCGCTCCCCGAGGTGCTTCCTGTGCTCTGCCCCCGCGTTCTGCCCCACTGCCCTGCTCTGAGGGGGAGGGGCGGGCACACGGACACCACCTATGGCCCAGCCTCTGCCCCCCATCCCACACCCCAAAAAGGGGAAGTCTCTGTGAGACGGAAGTCTGCCCCATGCCTTTCCTTCGACTGCAGCAGTCACATTTTCTGCGCTGCGGGTAGCCCAAGTCCCTTATCCTTGCGCTGGCTGCCAGGGTGAACTGGGCCCATGGAGAGACCAGTGAAGGATGGGATCCTTTATGTGCAGCACACCAAATTTGGAAAGGTAAAGGGTGGATTTGGGGTTGGTAGAGGGTTTGCCCTGATTTGTCATGAGGCTGGGCCCTCAGCAGCCTGGGAAGGGGTGACTGGAGCCAGACCCATTGGAGCTGCCCTTGGGGGAGCCCTGGGCTCAGCAGCTCTGTAAGTGGGGCTTTCCCGTGGGGCTGAGGGGACTCATCTGTGTGGGCACCCACTCTGGCTCACCCGTGTGTTGGGTTCTTCTTGCTTGGTCACCGCATGAGTCTCAATGGAAGAATAAACACACGTTAATATGGCGCAGCTCCAGCGTTTGTGTGTGTGTGTGTGAGTGGGGCCCTGGGCCAGCACGTGGCACGTGTCCTTGTGTCCTCCATCGGCCTGGCCCTGTAGGGCCAGCACCATCCAGTGACACCCTCGTGGCTTGGGCTGCTCCTCCGTGCCCTTGGAGGGGGCACTGAGTGTCACAGCCCTTGGGACAGGGTATGGATGACACGGTGAGAGTACCAGGGGTTGGGCCAGCTCCAGGGAGCTGTCGGGTGTTGGCGAACTAGGTCGTGCTGGTCACGCCATGGCAGGGTGGCCATGTCCTGTGGGGGTCTCAGTGGATGTGTGGGGCTGCAATCTCACTCTGACCTCCCTGCTGAACAAGAACCAAGCCCTGGAAGCTCAGCAGGCAGCGCTGTGTGTGAGGAGCTGGTGCCCTGCCATGGAGGAGGCAGGTGGGCTGGGGGTGGTGGGTATTTTGGGTGCTTGGCTGCATCTGGTTCCTGCAGGGCGGAGGCTCTGTGCACTTTTGAGGTACATGGTGGCACGCGCCCCCGCTATCCCATGACGGACTGGGAAGGTGCTGGTGCTGCAGAGGCTCCCCTGGGAGGAAGCAGGCTGCTCAGCAGATGTGAGGCTGCCAGCAGGAGCCTTTGCAGCTCAAAATGGCTTTAATTTGCATCAGGGTCTGTCCTGAGAACAGCTTGAGAGCTCAGCTGCAGGTTGGCAGGCCAGCACTTGCAGGAGGGAACAAAGAGCAGGACCTGGTGCTCAGGGAGCCAGGAGTGAGAGTGACTCACCCAGTGAGCCATGCCAGGCCCGCTCGGGGCAAGGCCCCCCTCAGCCCAGCTTCGGGCCTGCCCTGCCCCACAGTTCAGGATCTGTGCTGGCCC